TCGAGGCATCATCTAGCGCGAAATTTGTGCTTGTCCTGCCAACCTGGTTAATGAAGAGAGAAGCCCCACCTTGGCGTCTTCCTTGATGGAGAGCTTTGCCGTTTTCCTACCTCAACAATTACGAATCCATCCGATATGGTGTAGTGGCCAACATGATGCCCTCTCATCCTTGATGCGAGGTTAGGCATAGCCCCGAGTTCGATTCTCGGTTTCGGAATATATCATTTTGCTTTTCTTCGGCAATTTGGAATTTTTGACGCTCTTACAGCTCAGGTGCCTGCCTGCCTATTCGCTTTCGTAGCGAAAGACTGACCAGCTTTTTCTTCGCGCCAAGTGGGTTGAGAAGGAGCGGCCAGAGAATAGCCATGTTTCTCCATTATGCAAATTTGGTGTGACCAAGGGGAAACAAACAGTCCACTGACGGTGAACTGCTCCATTCAAAACTATTTTTTTCCAAATTACACAACCATAGCCCAGGAAGTAAAGGGGATGCTTCTTCCTCAATACGTTTCCGCTGTTGTCGTCCCTGTCGTTGTCGTCCCTGTCGTTGTCGTTGTCGTCCCTGTCGCTGTCGTCTCTGCCATCTGTTGAGTTGAGTTGAAGGGGGCGTATTGACTATTCATGCCTTTCACAACGTCTTCAAAGCGAAGACAATCGAAGCCTTCTCTCAGAGTACAATGCGACTCCCAACTTGCTAGTTCCTTTCAAAATAACTACTTATGCCACGGCAAGGTTGGCCTATTCATGTGTTTGAGCCTCCAATTCCATGTGTGGGCAACCTTGATGAGTATCAGTCTCTGCAACCCTTCTTTTCTATCGGAAATGACTTGTCTGTGAGACTGAAAGTGACACATTCGCTCTGAGCTTACTAGTCTCTTCTGAAATCAGAATTGCTCAAGATTTCTGTTTCCAGCATCACCCTCACGTACTTTGGATCGTCGACACCTCAGTGAATAATTCACCGAGCTCGAGTCTCCGCACATCGAACAATTACATCAAGCCCGACTTGCGGAGAGACCCTCGGCGCTCCATGCGACAATATGGAGCCCGGCAACGGCGATGTCAGACCGTTTCCTGAACCGTCCCGCGCTCCTGCTTCTGAAGCATTCAGCTCCGTCCAGCACATAGAACGTCGCCGTTATGACCCGCGAAGCATCATAAACCTGTATCGATATTCTCCCGGACGTCCTCACAGAAATTCGAGGTACTTCAGCAACCCCCTACCAAAGGACCTGCCGTCTGGTTGGCTTCGCGGCTTCGACCCGACGGTTCAGACTTCGACCAAGACCGCTGCCCAGATTGAGATTATCGGACCCATCCGTTTCGGCGAGGGAAGAATTTCCCAGATACACGAGTGCGAAGTCGTGCATGCGCCGAGGCGCAGAAGGTCTCACGCGTCTCTGGCCAACATCGAACTTAACGGCAAGGGACGCCGCCTGCGGCTTGCAGCAAAGTTCTTCGATGCTATGTTCATCCCGGGCATCAGCGATGAGGATTTTGATGGAATCTTTAGTCAAGAGGACGCGGCGCTGAAGCACTTGTTCAGAAAGAAGTTAACCGGTCACCCGCATCTTGCACCTGAATATTATGGCAGCTGGGCCACGAAGTTCATCATCGGCCGGGATGACAATGGATTTGAAATTTACAGATGCGTCGGTGTTATTCTTACTGAGTAACATTGAGGGTCTGTCAATCTCACAGCTTTGTGGTACCCGCATGGATAATAATTACCTGGTACCGCCGACTGGGCCGGTCGCACTTCATCGGTCAGATTCAAGCATTGCTACGGTTGAATTGCACCGGGACAACCGCGTGCAAGTGATGAAGCAGTTGCTCGATGGAATCAGTCGACACATTCATGCGGGCGTGGACCGCATTGATATTCCGCGCCGGAATGTCTTGATCACCTTGCGCTCCAATGGGAAGGATCTAGAGGAGATGCGCGTCGTCATGCTCGATTACAGTCTCAGTCCAGTTTGGAGCCATAAGAAACGGGGGACTGTTCCCTATCGCCGCAAGAACGTCGTTCAAGAGCTCCCACGACCACCTCATCCTGCGCAGCATTTCGGTGTTTGGGAGTGGCCCGAGTTCAACAGCGCCGATGTCCTCCCCGACTTCTGTGGCTGGTTATCGGATGACCCCATTTGGGATTCTCATCTCGCGGAGTTCAAGCGATGGCTTGTGAGTGAGGAAGGGTTTGGCGAAATACAGTCCACCACCGTCTACTCCAACTCGGCAATGTTCGAGCAGCTCATCCAGGAAAAGCGGGCGGCGTTGCAACAGGCAAAGGAGCAGAAGACCAGAGAAGCTCAAGCTGAGACATTCAGAATCAATGCCATCTTGAGAGACCAAGAGGGACAATCGGAGCTTGAAGACCTTATGAAAACATCCGGAAGCAAGATGTCCCACATCGGCAAGCAGAAAGCGTGGTCAAAGAAACAGAGACGACTCGGAGGATATCCATCCAACGTGGTACGTTCGTGCGGGATCCCAGGAATCTGGCGACCATTCGATACTGGCAAGGTCTGGAACCTCCACCCACGCTGCAGTACCCCGAACTCGCTGCAGAACATCATCAACACATTCAGAAACGGCCAGCTAGTCGAAAATGCGAGTCTTCGGGAAGAAGTTGTCGACTGGATCATTTGGTTGGAGCCTTGGGAGAAATCTTATTACAGACCAGAGCCGAGCGACGTGTACACCATTTTGAGGCCGCTTGTTTAGCTTCGAAATTGACTAGCAATAAGTCCATGTCCGTTTTCTGCCACTAGGAACCTTGCAGGTGTAGCGGTGCGGTCGGTGGGTACTTGCCTGTTGTGTGTCTGCAGAAGCATGAGGCAGGCAGGGGTTTGGGGAAGGAGAGATGCCCAAGGTGGTTGATCCTTCCCATCACGCTCGCCTTTTCCTCCCGAAGATTTTTACCCCATCTCTTCCTGCTCCGGCGAGTGCAACTCTTCCTTTTCCCAAGCTGGCATTCATTGTCGTACGTCTTGTTCTTGCCAAGCTTGCCATCACTTCTACAAGCGTCCTCGACACGTGCGACGGCCCAACTTGCTTCAATCATCAACGCAATCTCTGTCAACTACAAGATGACCGAATCTGCACACATCACGGCGGCCGAGCAGTACAAGACCGGGACGCGGTTGACTCTGTGGCAGTATGAGCCAGTGCAGCCCCACGGCCTGTCTGAGTACACCCGGAATCCTCTACCGGATGATCTTCCCCCTGATTACCTTCGAGATTTCGATCTCGAGATGACTCGCAGCACACGCAAGGAAGATGTCGACAAGCAAGCCGTGCTTCAAGTCAGCAAGGTCATTTCCGGAGGCGACAACAACACGGTTCAGGTCATTCTATTCGACGTCATTCAACCGCCAGTTTCGTATCGGGGCGATGCTGCCAGGCTTCCCGGAGATGGCACGCAGGTAGTCGGCTTGCTCTACGACACCGAGTTCTACCCCAGCGACGAGTACACATTTTACAGCAACGCAGAACAGGCCGATGGCAACCTCAGCCGCACCGACGCCGCACTCAAGCATTTCTTCTCGAAGAACAAGATCGGACACCCACATGTCGTTCCCCAAAATTACGGCTGTTGGGCGACCCGTGTTGATACGAACGACAAGAACGCTTTCAGATACGTCGGCCTTGTCCTCGAGGAGTACATCAATGGCCACTCGATTGAGCATATTTGCGACCGCGATGAATACGACGAACTTGTTCCTCCTGATGGCGACGTCGTTTTTCACATGCCCGAAGATGTTGACGATGGATTCCACACCTTGGAAATTTCCAAGGAGCTGTGCCAAGAAGTCATGAAACAGGCCCTCAATGGTCTCGTCGAACACATGCATATCGGCGTTCAGCATAATGTCTTCGAGCCGCGCAAGGTATTCATCACTTTGCGCAACGGAAAGGTGGGTTTGGATTGGCCAAGGGCTGTGCTGCTTGGCTTCACGAACACACAGGTATGGTCAAAGACAAAAATGGCCAAGGGCCGCAAGGGTCCCGTGCAGTTACTTGAGCATCTTCCCCATCCACCTCATCCTTTCCAGCGGTTTAGCGTCACAGCACTTGATAACTTCATAGGATGGTGGCCCTCCACTGAAGTGGGCTGGGAGGGCGACGAGCCAGATGACTTCGATAACGAAGCTGAATTCAATGAGTGGCTTGTGAGTGACGAGGCTTTCGGGCCACTTGTTGAGGCTGCGGATATGGAGGCCGAGCTGGGTGAGGGCGTTGAATGGCTGCATCCGTACAAGAAGTACTCTCTATTCAAGACGCTCGACCCAATTAAGCCAAAACTCCTGGAGGAACGAGAGGAGAGACGCAGGAAGCTAGAGGAGGAGGAGGAGCTCAAGAAGGATAGGGACGCAAATGTGCAGGCTCTTGCCGATATCAATTTGTCCGCTGCGCAGACGAAAGGTTACAAATAGTGGAAAGAAATTAAGAGACCGCCTAACTTCCCTGTGTCTGCGCGGCTTTATTTCCTGTGTGCTTCATTGCCCTTATCGAAGACGATGTGAGCGGCGATGACGACGACGACGACGACGATAGCAGTAACGGTAACGACGGTAAGGTAGGTTAAAGACACAGGAAAAGCAGTCGATCTAATACAGCAAACATGGTTGGTCTAAAGATCGATACCAATCCTGCAAGAAGCATGCCCAAATCATGACTCCCTTTTCTACGTCCTGATGCTGACATTGGATATCCAGAGGGAATATTGAATTCCTCCAGATCGACCATTTGTGAATCCCAGCAAGGGCACCCATAACTATCCCAAGCCCACCTCTGCGGCTCCTAATTTTCTCTTCATCTTGTGCGCCGTGTCTACTGCGTCTCAAACTGACCCAACCCCCCTCACCTTCATCCCTACCCTCATCTCACCCTGCGTTTCTCGACCAGCAGCCATCAACCAGCTCAACCTGTACCAGAGTCGAAAAGTAGTTCTCAATCCAGATTTCTTTGCAGAACCTCCGGAGCATGATTACAACAAAATGTCGACATTCCGATACATATCACCCACCAAGCAGTATCATCCGGGAACAAAACTAGAACTATGGCCGTACAAGCCCGCAGAACCCCACGGACGCTCACAGTACACGCGCAATCCGTTGCCCCGCGACCTCCATCCAGGTTGGATGAGAGACTTTGACCCAACAACTCTAAACAACAGAGCCGAGGAAGCCGCAGTCATCGAGATTGACGAGATGATTCACGGCGGTGACAATCATCTTGCCCAAATCCTTGCCTGCAATCTGGTCGAAGCCCCCAAGCATCAACGATCACCGGAAGAACTCACTCAGTTGACCAATGACGGCAAGCCTGTCAAGGTGCAAATTGTTGCAGAGATCTTCGATCCAGAATTTTACCCTGGTGGCACAGGTGCTCCCTACGACAATGACGAGCAAGCTGACGGAAATCTGAGTTGCGCAGATGCAGCTCTCGGACATCTCTTCACCAAGGGCTTAACAGGTCATCCCCACTTTGCGCCTCAGTATTATGGCTGCTGGGTTGCACGTATCCAAGCCCGACAGAGATCTACTGGCCCTGTGACTGAACGCTTCGTTGGTGTTGTTCTGAGGGAGCATGTAATCGGCCATTCAATCGAGGCTCTCTGTCATAGGGACGAATATGGTCAGCTTCTCCCTTTCGAGGGTTGTGTCTTCTTTCACGATTCCGATGATGCGGAAGAGGGCCAGGTTCGTCTCGAACTAGAGAAAGAAGTTTGCCAAGACATATTAAAGCAGGCTCTACACGGAATCGTGTGCCATCTTCACGTCGGCGTCAAACACGAGATGTTTGAACCGAAGAACATCTATCTCACGATGCGTGATGGGGATTTCGACCTGGAAAAGCCAAGAGCTGTCCTTCTTGGGCATATGCTAGCGCAGGTCTGGTCCAAGACTACGGAGGCACAAGGGCCGTTAGAGCTCAAACAGCTTCTTGAACACCTGGCATACCCGCCGCACCCACGGCTTCGATTCGGCTTCAGGGCTGTTGACGACTTTGTCGGCTGGTTTCCGTCGCCACCGGACGGCTGGTACGGCAATGAACCAGCTACTTTCGACAGCAAGAAGGAGTACGAAGATTGGATTGTTAGCGAAGAGGTGTTCGGTCCGCTCGTCGAGGCCGCGGAAGTCGAGAAGGGTTTGGAGGACGGCGCTGAATGGCCATACCCGTATGGCAAATATTCGCTCTTCAAGTCGCTTGATGCGGTCAAAGAGGATCTTCTTCGACAGCGACAAGAGAAAAGAAAACTTGCGGAGCAACAACAAAACCCCGAGGACATGCAAAAGGGACGATAGGACAGTTCCTTCAAGGACCCAGCGGCAACGACTTCCAAGGTCTCAGACGTGAAGGAAACTCCTACCGAAGAGTCCATCCTGGAGGAAACCATAATAAGACTGCAAAATCTGAGTTTGAAGAGCTCCCCACTTCCGAAAATCGCAAGCCAAGTCATCGAGAATCAGAGTCAGGCGGCGGGTCGTAGAAACCACGTTCATCGAAGCGGCTCCCAACATGCCGCCTTGTGTTCTGGTCACCAGGAGGCTTTAGGACTTGTGCAATAAAACACTGCCGACGATGGTCCTATTGCGAACACCATCGAAAAGCGAGCACTGGACTCAGTCGCGTGTGGCTCAAAATCAAGCAGGTTCCAAAAACACGCTCCGTGGGTAACCTTGAAAGGTGTCGCCGTGCAAGGTATTTTCTCCATTTGACTTCTTTCATCACACATGACCACAGGACGACTCCATACACTAGCCATGCTCATGCGCGTGCTTCTCAGGCTTCGATAAGTCACACCTCTCTGCCATCACTCACAACCAACACAGTTTATCACCAACAATCCTCCATCATCAGCACACCACCACTTCCAGCTCCCAGTACTCAGCACTCACCATGTCTCAGAAGTTTCGGCGCTACAGGGCAGGCCGCCGGCTGAACCTGTATTCGTACAACCCCGTTGATCCCCACGGAACCACAAAGTACTTGCCGAATAACTTGCCGGATGACCTCACACCTGGTTGGGTCCGAGGCTTTGATCCGACCAATCTACCTCCCACTTCGGATCTTATCCTAGAAGTCTTCGAGAGCCTGTCCTGTGGCAACAAGAAGTGCAATCAGATCACCGCATGCAGGATTGTGATGAGTCTCGAGAACCACCATGACCCCAATGTCCAGGGTCCTCGCGAGGGTCAGCAGTGGCCCGACCTCGTTGTCTGCAAGGCGTTTGACCCCTCTTTCTACCCAATCCTGGGGGGTCGTGGTGTGGACAAGGCAGCGGAGGCGGCGCTCAGCAGAGAGGCTGGGGCCTATCGATACCTCTACTCAAACAACATGACCGGCTTCCCTCACCCAACGCCCGAGTTCTATGGTACATATGTCGCAGTGTTTGAACTTGGATTTGAAGACGATAACCTCATCGACCTTGGACTTGAGGACAAGCATCAAGCCTACAGGTGCGTTCCGGTCATTCTCATGGAGCATGTCGAAGGCTTCTCAATGGAGAACCTATGCACCCGTCATGACACCACGCATGAGCTCATCCCCCGCAACCTGCTCCCCATCTTTCACTACGATGCCAACGGTAGTCCGGTCACCCTTGAACTTCACAAGCAGAACAGAAAGGAGATCATGAGACAAGTGCTCGATGGCTTGGTCAAGATGTTGCACGTGGGCCTGGAGTTCGGGGCCATTGAGGCCCGCCAGATCATGATTACCATCAAATGTGGCCAACACGACCTGGAGGTGCCCCGAGCGGTTGTTTCAGACTATACCATGAGCGATGTATGGTGTATGACGCGTGTCGGCAAAACTGTCCACAGACATCGTCTCTACGACCTACAAAAGCTCCCGAAGCCCGTCCACCCTATGCAGATTTTTGACTTCGAGGAGCTACACAGTACCATCGGATTTTGGCCTTCGTCGTACTGCTACGAGACGAAGAACGATGATGAGGCGAGAGAGGCCGAGTGGGCCCGGGACTCCGAAGGGATTCGCATCAGGGACGACAACGGTCGGCTCCGCCATAAGTGCGAGGTCGAGTATGATGAATGGCTCGTGGAGACTTTCGGCCCGTTTGAGGAGGGAGATACTCCGTCTACAAGACTTGGTACCTGATACAAGAGGCGGAGGAGAGGGCGAGGGAGGCAGCGGCGAAGGAGGCATTCACGGTGGAGAAGGCGTTACGGGACTGGTTGAGGGACCCCGCGAAGGAGGCCGAGGAGGCAGCAAAGTGGGCCGCTGTGAAGGAGACGTCGATGGAGCTGGCGATGGATGCAGTGGTTACTGCGTCCAAGAGAGCGTTCAAATATGCGCACGCTGCGTGGTACGAGGAGAAAGAGAGGCAGGAGCAGAAGGGTGGACAGATCGAGGATGTTGCCATTGATGTCACGGACGACGCCACCGCCGATGATAATAACAACGACGACGACGACGCCGGCGACGACGATGATGATGACTATGACGAGGACGACAATGACAACGAGGATGAGATCGACTACTTCCCCCAGTTCTTCGGGGCTCATGAGGATAGAGAGGTTAGAGAGGCTGTGGCATTTCAAAAAGCGCAAGAGCTTCGCGACGTCAAGGACGCTCTGAGAAATCTGCGGGCTGAAGAGGCCGGGAGCTCACACGACGTTCCAGACGTTGAGCAGGTTCGAGACACCCTGGAAGTGGTACGGGCTCGACGACATCGGGAGGCCGAAGAAGAAAGACCAGTAAAGGGAAGTGTGACACTTGATCAGCATAGAGAAGCGTGATACTCCATTCATTGACATCGTGATCCCCTGCGTCGCCCACCGCAGCATCATCGTGGTCCACTCAAAGAGAATAGAAGACCAGTCTTTTGCTAGAAAGCGAGTTTGCAAGGTTTTGAAGCAAAACACATGGAAAATGCAAAGTGTCCGCTCAGGAGGACGAAGGTGGGTTGCTCCTTGAGTTGATTAAAGACTTGATAGCCAAACTCAAAGGTCCACCATGCATGTTTGAGTCTGCGAGGCGATGATTCTCAAAGACGGCCAGCATGAAACTATGAGTGGTGTTGGCAGGAGACGGTGCGTCTTGGGATAAGGTGTGAGAAGGGCTGAGGCGGGAGGATTCAGTGCAAGTGACAATAGTGGATGCAGGTACGTTTGGGGTGAGAGTTGTATCCCGGCTTACACCCGTGTGAGATCATACCATGCATCGAACAGTAGATGTTTATTATCGAGTAGCCTTTATGCATATCCATGCGATACAAGAATCAGAAAAATCCTAATCGAGACGTATTCGCCGAAGTTTGTGGTGGGAAGGTGGGTGGCGGGAGCCTGTGACGGTGTTATGCAAGGTGACCTTCTCCAATGCCCTCTGAATGGCCCTCTCCATATCCTGCCCCAAAGAATCTTTGTCTTCAAGCTTGCGTAGAAGGGTGAGAAATTGAGGAATTATGACGTCTAGCATTGCGTCCTGTCTCTCCCCAATCAAGTCCAACGTGTCAAAGGTAGAATACCTTTTGTTGGCGTACGGCCGCATCTCGTCTGGCTTGTCCAAGTCTTTCTTGTCCGTCGCCTCATCCAGGGGACCAAAGACCTCTTCACTTAGAAGCCACTGCTTAAACTCTTTTTCTACCTCGTCTGCAGGACGACCGTGTCCAGATGGAGGCCACCAGCCTTGAAATTCCGTCAAACCCTTGACGCTGCATCTTTCCCGAGGGTGGGTTGGAAAAGGGAGCTTCTGTAAACAGTAGCTTAAATTCCCGGGGAGTTCCGAATATTTTGTCTCGAACCATACCTGAGTATCTTCGTGATCAAGAAACACGACTCGTAATTCTTCCAAGTCCTGCGTACCGTTCCTTAACGTGACGAATACATTCTCCGGGGAAAGATTGTGATGCTCGACCCCGAGCTGGAAACCTTGGCAAATACCGTGGAGCATTATCTGGATAACAAGCTGTCGATTCTTCTCGTCAAAGGTAACACGCCTCATCTGGTTGCCCTCGCCAGATATGCCAAAAGAAAATTCGTAAGGGCAGAGCTCGCCAATATATCCTTCTTCGATATCTTCGCGAAAACACAGGTCCTCAATAGAGCGGCCGTCGATGTACTCAATAAGGATAAGACCAACGTACTTGAATTGTGGTTCACCCGTCATATTCGTACCATACTTGACTTTCGCCACCCAGCCACCGTAGAACTGTGGCATAGTATGCGGGTAGCCCGTCTTCTTATTCCAGCGATAGTATGCGTAGGCTGCATGCTCACGGCTGAAGTAACCTGTATCAGGGCTAGGGCTAACAAAGCAGCTAGGAAGCCATGTGCTGTCGTAGACCTTGGCGACGAGCTTCCTCGTCAGGGGCGGTCGGCGGGCTTGGGAGTTCTTGTTCTTGGGGATCAGGCTGAGAGGTGACTGGTAGAAGGCTGGGCGTTCTTCGACCGGTGCCTCCAGTATCTTGCAGCTGAAGATTTGAGACTCTCGATCGGGACCAACGCGTATGACTTCCTCGATTTGAACCTTGGCTTGAGTCTTGGCGATGTCGGCCTTGGCGTCGAAGTTGCGCACGCCTCGAGGTGAATGGTATGCGGGGGTGCCATATGGGCGTACCGGCTCGTATGGAAATAGGGTCAGCTTTTTGCCAACAGGTTACATCTCCTCAGGCTTATCCCAGGTTGCAAGCTCAAGAAACCCCTCCATGATGAAGTGCTATGCTGCGTGGTCGATTGTGGTTTGGGAGGCGAAAAGAGGATGGTAAGATGAAGAACACAGGATGCCTAGAAAGGTTTTGGAGAGAGCTGCATGGATTTTGAAGAGAGATTGGAGAGATGCGGCTGCGCAAGAGCGGTTTTTACGGTTTGGGAGTACCTGGAGTGCCGAAGAGAAAACAGAGAAAATCTATTGAGCGGAAAGTCTGATTTCGACCATGGGCACAGCGTTGTCTAGGTTGCTCAGCCTGGAAACCTTTACGCAAGGTACATGAATCTTTCCTCAAAGGTTCTGTGACTTTTGGATCACATACCTCGAACCTTGAGCGGCCGCTTAGGTACGTCAAAACCCAACTCGCTTACTCTTCCCTTGACTCTGTTTGATCTCACCACTTTCCATTACTAAATTTGAGGATTTTTTTCAGAAGCAGCAAGAGACCATCGCGGTTCTGTCCGCCCCCCTTCCCCTTCCAAACCCCTTCCCAATCCCTACTCAACTAGCTATCGAGGGGGAATTCGATCGCTATCAACTCCTTCCTGACATCATCGGTCTAATCCCACAACCAGCCCGTCTTGCGAAATCGCCAACCTGCCCTCAGACTCCTCGTGGACCGCCGACATCGGTAGCCCAGTATGTCCGAGAAATTCAAGTCCAGCATCGAACTGGAAGTCGCCCGTTACTACCCGACGCAGCGTCTGAACCTCTATTCCTATAAACCGGTCGATCCTTATGGCGTCAAGGGTTATATTCCAAATCCACTCCCAGCTGACCTTCCTCCTGGCTGGGTTCGGGGCTTCGACCCGACCAACTTGCCGCCAACTCCCGATGTTGTCCTCGAGATCGTCAGACCGCTATCAGCCGGTAAAAAAAAAAAAAAGGGCTCAGATTACCGTCTGCAAGACACTGCAGCATCTCCGCAGCCACGACTCTAGCGTCCACGGCCCCCGTAAGGGCGGCATTTAGCCAGAATTGATCGTTTGCAAGTCCTTTGACGCTGTTTTCTTCCCACCTTTTCCCGGTTGCAGCGCAGACAAGACGGCCGAGAAAGCCCTCAGTCGGGAGAATGGCGCCTATCGACACCTGTACGCCAAGAACTTCACCGGTTTCCCGCACACCACGCCGGAGTTCTACGGCTCCTATGTGGCAGTATTCGACCTCGGCCTCGAAGGGAAAAAGCAAAGGGTGTATAGATGTGCTTCGGTTATCCTTATGGAGTACGTCGATGGTCTGTCCGTCGAATCACTGTGTCGACGCCATCCTGAGACTCGTGATCTGATTCCTCGCAATACGACTCAAGTCTTCCATCAGAATACAAACGGCCAATGCATCTCGCTTTCGCTGCACAAAGAGACCAGGCAGGAAATTGTGAGGCAACTGGTTGAAGAGGGAATACACTGGTTGCACCAGGGGATGGAATTTGGCGATGTCGACCCAGACCAAGCCCTTATCACCATGCGCCATGGCCAATATGACCTGGTCCAACCGCGCCTCGTGATCCTGGATTACACCCACACTCATGTCTGGTGCATGACAAAAACCGGCAAGACTAACCCAAGGCACCCCATCACCGAGTTTCAGAAGCTTCCCAGCCCGACACATCCTTCCGAGCTCTTCGACACGGACTGGTTTACCCACTGGATTGGATGGTGGCCGTCGTCTTTCTGTCACAAAGCCCAAAGCGAAGACGAGGAGATGGAGCTGGAGTATGCGAGGGATTCGAACGGTGATCTGGTCAAGGACGAGAATGGCCGGTTTCTGTGCAGGAACGAAGTCGAGTTTGAGGTTTGGATGTTGAAGGTGTGGGGTCCCCGTGAGGAAGGAAAGTACTCCGTCGGGGAGACACTCAACCGGATTCGGGATGATAAGAAGAAGACCAAAGAAAAGGTCGTTGCTGCAGAGACGGAAGCCGCGGCGGAAACTGATGCGCTGATGCTGGCGCTGGGCCTGAGAAACCCTAAATCTGACATCGACGCAGACGACAAGGACCGGTCGAGGAGCCAGTGATGCCGAACAAGCAGTCGGTGAAACTGGGAAGGCGTCTTCGGAGACTCGCAGAGTCGATCAACCTGATGAACGACCATCACCCCGAATAATGAGGAGGTTCTTCAAAAGACTCTGGAGGCGAAGATTTATTCGAGATGGACAGTGTCGAATACTACTCCGGGGGCGGAGACGGTGAGTGAGGGCAGAGACAGAGACGCATGACGAGGTACCTACCTACGTACTGACAGGGCCGGTCTTGGCCGCCGTCTCCGAAGCTGCGGGGCCGGAGTGCGCCGCTCGTTCGGACAAAATGATCAAAGCTAAACAAACGATCCAGGTACAACAGGAATTGACAATACATACGGGTCTCAAGTTACCTTTCCCCATGTGGCTTTCTGAAGATCCATTGCCCGGCTTCTACAAGGGGACGGAGTTGTTCATTGTCATAGTCTTGGCGTCGAAACAACCACGCTCGAAGCCTGGTCCCTGCCAGGCACGAGACAACAGCAGTCTCTCGAGGTTAGGCATCTCGTCGGCCGACCTCTCCCGTCCGATGTTCATGCAATTTACAGCTCCGGGCCGAGGGTGCAGCCGCGTGCAGCCCATGACAACGGTGGCCTTGCTTGGTTATGCGGTGCGGAGGGAGAGGCGGCCGGCGCGCATTTAGAGTTTTCTCATGTTGTGACGTGCGTGGGACGGGAGGGGTGGTTCATGCACGGCCACATTGGACTGTTTTCAGTTTCGACGTTGTTTTTGTGTGAACGGGCGAGTGTTGGTTGCTGGGGAAGTTATCCGCATGGTGATCGGATTTCCCAGTGTGGATTGTAGGCATTGCATCTGTACTCTGAAGCTGTCACAGAAGAGCGGGTTTGGGAAATGTGGTCGACGATGTACACACAAGTCGTTTGAATCAAGGATGGGCGGCTTGAGGACGGGGGTTTCAGCGGTGGGGGATGACGTCGTTTGGCGGCGCCGTTTGCCGGTGTGACAGGCTGCTCCTGGTATATTTGAGCGTGATATAGGTACGTGCAGTACTCGCGTACCTAGGTATGCATACCTAAGGTAGGTAAGTATTTGACTCCATGCGAATTACACGGTTCTCACAACAACGACGGCCATGTTGACGACGACGTTAAAGGATGATTGAGGCTGAAAATGGGATCTCCACACGCTACTGCGCATTGGCGAGACAGACCGAGTGCCCGTTGAAAGAAGCCCAGGACACTTGGGCATTCTTGGGGGGATCTTCGGCTATCGAGAGGGCGAGATGCAGCAAAGCGGGATACCGCTAGACCGAGAGCGGTGTGAGCTGAGCTGGGCTGATTGTGTGCTTCCATTTGCTGGAAATGCGGATTCTGGCGAATCAGGACGAGGCACGGGCGGCTGCTTGCATTTTTCGCGGTGCATTCTGCGAGATGCGTTTCCCCCGCTTGTCTTGGCCCAGGCACGATTTGGTGCCTTTTGAGTTGGGCGAGGTGGTTGGGGTTTAGCGCCGCTGTACGGATAAGGGTCTCTTGCAGGAAGGACTTGAGTTGAAAGAGTTTTCTTCCCCCTCGCTAGGCCACGTTCAGACAATTGAGTTGTCAATCCGAACATGCTCTCTTCTTTTGAGATGGGGATTGACCCCTATCTGTCGGTCTAGCCTCTGGAGTCTCGACGAGTCAACTTCCTGACCATATCTTATCGACGGAGCAAGACTCGAAAGAGAACAACTGTCAACATCTCTGCGTGAGGGAAAACTCTTCAGGTCAGGAGGTTTTCCCAAACCGATAAAGTCTCTTTTGGACGCGGAATTAAATGAAGGCCCATGGGTTGCGCAGAGTGAGTGCGGATTCAGGCTTTGATGAGTTGCTCGTGTTAGTGTGCGGCAAGGAGCGTATGGTGGGACGCGCCTGAGCCGACCCCATGCAAGGCGAAATAAACCAGACGGGGTCCTGCCTCGGGTCGCAGAGAGAGCATTGCGGTCGGGTCTGGCCCGTTGGGTAAGAATACTGTGTCTTCCGTCTTGTGTTGGTGCGTTGAACTAAAAGTTGAGGCTGGACTGGATGTGGTCGAATTGGGATGGCAGCCAAATGTGTTGGAGAGACAGAGGACAGGAAATGGCAAGGCATAGAGACGAGGCGCCGAGGTGGCTAACCACCGCCGAGAGAGGCGCGGCCGAAGCCGGGTTCAATGACAAAGAGTCGCAGCGACCGGGGCGGGCCAGGCGCAGCAACGGCGAAGGCAGGCAGGTGGCTTGAGAAGGATGATTGGGGGTTTTATTCAGAATGAAGTGGGTGGTGACACTGAATTCCTGTCGGCGTTCGATTCTGCGAGACGTAGAATTGATTGTACGAGTGGCTCGCACAGGTGCAACATCACTTAGGCACTCCACGACAATTGAATTGTCGATCGACTCCTCGCCTTCTCGTACCCGGTCGCATCGATGATGTGCTATCAGAACAGTTTTGTTTATTGAATAGGTACTGAGCACTATGTATGTACCTATGTATGGAGGTAGGCAAGTAGGTAATCAGCGAGTTGGAAGGACCTGCACGTCTTGTCACATTGTCTTGATTGGCCGGGACGCCTGCACGGCACACATCCGCCCCGCTAAAGCTGCATCTGGGCAATTGAGACGATGCTTGATACCTGATACCTCGCTCATGATTCGACAGATAGACCTGCGTACGCTCTCTGGCTCTCCCGTCTGCTAAGGTGCCGTGCGTTGGTTAGGTATCCTGTTAGACGCAAGTCCCAACCTCCCACTCCAGTCTCCAGACGACCATACCAGACCACACCACACCACCTTGGCCCGATCGCTCTAAGCGCGCTACTGCTGTCTCTCGTCCTCTGCGGAACCCGTCTCACCTCGCTCTCAGAGACAAGAAACAGAGACAGAACACAGACAAGGCGACCCGACCGACAGGCTGCGACCTTACCTTTACCTTGGAGCGCATACCACTGGCTGCCCACCCCTCCTGCGTTTCCCCTCCAAAAAAAGTCTCCATCCCGTCGCTGGTTTACTTACTCGCCCCAAAACCGCATTTGCTCCAAACACCAACCACACCACCAACAACAATACCCCCGCGACGACAGCCCGACGAAGAACAAGCGACCGCAAACGACACAGCCGACAAGGACGAGTCGATTGAACCCGACCGACATGACCACGGTCTGAGGCCCACCGCCGCCCACTGCAGCAGCCCACACCACCCCTGCCATGTGCCGCGTACCCATCCCATCCCAACCCATCCATCAACACCTTACCACGACGGGACTGGCCCTGCCAACGGCAACGCTATCTGCTGCTGGTAACCCGAACTGGAACCACGACATTGGCACTGTACCTACCTGGGCATACCATGAGTAGTGGTAGCTCGCGCCAGCGCTCTGCGACCAGATCTGATACCCACGACCGCAATTCGAGTCCCTTTCCCAGCGTCCCACGATCCAGAGACGAGGTTCACAACCTCGAC